ACTTTAGACCCGAGAGGAGTTGCAGTGGTATGTTGACGATTCAAATCTTCAGTATTGGTAGATAATCCGAGCCGTTATCTTGTTGCATATTAAAGTCCAATTTATACTTTCAATGTCCGCGTGTCTGCGATGGTCCGTTTATAATCCTTCTGATGCAAATGACTTCACCGGCCATGCCCATTAGTGACTAATCAAGAACAGGCAAGAACTGTTCCCTTAGCATAACTGTTCCCTTAGCAGAACTGTTCCCTTAGCAGAACTGTTCCCTTAACAGAACTGTTCCCTTAGCAGAACTGTTCCCTGAGCAGAACTGTTCCCTGAGCAGAACTGTTCCCTTAGCAGAACTGTTCCCTTAGCAGAACTGTTCCCTTAACAGAACTGTTCCCTTAGCAGAACTGCTCCCTTAGCAGAACTGTTCCCTTAACAGAACTGTTCCCTTAGCAGAACTGTTCCCTTAACAGAACTGTTCCCTTAGCAGAACTGCTCCCTTAGCAGAACTGTTCCCTAACAGAACTGTTCCTTAGAGAACTGTTTCCCTGAGCAGAACTGTTCCCTTAGCAGAACTGTTCCCTGAGCAGAACTGTTCCCTTAGCAGAACTGTTCCCTGAGCAGAACTGTTCCCTTAGCAGAACTGTTCCCTTAGCAGAACTGTTCCCTTAGCAGAACTGTTCCCTTAGCAGAACTGTTCCCTTAGTAGAACTGCTCCCTTAACATAACTGTTCCCTTAGCAGAACTGTTCCCTGAGCAGAACTGTTCCCTGAGCAGAACTGTTCCCTTAACAGAACTGTTCCCTTAGCAGAACTGTTCCCTGAGCAGAACTGTTCCCTTAGCAGAACTGTTCCCTTAGCAGAACTGTTCCCTGAGCAGAACTGTTCCCTTAACAGAACTGTTCCCTTAGCAGAACTGTTCCCTTAGCAGAACTGTTCCCTTAGCAGAACTGCTCCCTTAGCAGAACTGTTCCCTTAGCAGAACTGTTCCCTTAGCAGAACTGTTCCCTTAGCAGAACTGTTCCCTTAGCAGAACTGCTGACCGAAGAAATATAACAAACGTATTGATTTTATTCATATGACCTTTTGGCAACAAACAAGCCTTAACCCTAACCCTAAGTTTCCAATGTCGCGGAATAAAAACCTAAAGAACTAAAGATCGCCTTAGGCTTTGATTTATCAGATTTTCCCGCCAGCATTCCCAACCAGATTCAACCGATACCCAGGTGGTGGATAGTGGACATACAGCCGTAGGTATGAGAGTAGAAATTCAGTCTTCTTTGGCCTCATATGTTCTAGCACCAGGTCAACGAATGAACTATCCCTGGATCAATCAAGGTGCTTGCAAAGCACAGTCCATGACATGCATAGACTTGCCAAGGCACATTTGAAAATGGAATTAGAAAGTTGTCTTCAATCTGCCAACTCTAGACATGACTTTGCAGCGGATTAAGATAAGCAGGAAGACTCCTGTCCAAGACTATACTACAGATAATAGCTGATTAGCAATTCTAACATTGGCAGACGGGGAAATTAGAAATCGTTATTATAGTTCAATAAGGAAAACAGTCAAAGTTAGCTTTATTATGCATAAACTGGTCGTAACGGGTTTGTCATCGGTTGCTGTGAAAGCAAGTTTGAGGCTGAAGTACGGAGAGGATCAGCCGAGGAATAACCAAACCTTCATTTATTTTACAGGCCTTCTTGGCAAAGAGGATGGATTTTATGTTTCTAAACCAGGCGTGTTTCAGGTGAGACAAAACATTGACTTGTCAACAGTAGGAAATCAAACTTGAACTCTATGACCCTTTGACATCTTAGTTCTAAAAAGAGAAATCTAAATGCTGCTTTATGAGATGATATTTTAAACAACATTGTGTTTCCTACTTTGACGCACCGTGCACAAAGATAGCAACAAAAAAAAAGGTTTTACCAGATTTGGTTTGGAGGGAATTGACGAGCCTGCACATCGCTGACCTCAACCCCACCCACCACTCTCCAACAAGCACACGAGGAAGCAGCGAGGGAGATCAACTTTTAAAAACGTATCCGCACAAGTGTGAACAGGGTCAAAGCAGGAGAGAAATCTGTAGTGCAACATTCCTGATTGTGTGTGTGTGTGTGTGTGTGTGTGTTTGTGTGTGTGTGTGTGTGTGTGTGTGTGTGTGTGTGTGTGTGTGTGTGTGTGTGTGTGTGTGTGTGTGTGTGTGTGTGTGTGTGTGTGTGTGTGTGTGTGTGTGCCACTGGCAACATATTACTGCCCTTGTTGTCACTGGAGACATCAATTTCCCCTTAAGGCTTAGTCTCAATCATTTACCTCTCCTTTCTCTCGCTCAGACGAGGTGACAAAGCGGCGTGACAGATCGGAGACGCCGGCACAGTTCCAGCCACTGAGATTAAGACTTTAACACGAAGAGGAAAGAGAAAAAACAAAAGATACGAGCGGCTCGGAGCTCTTGTCACGCTCTGCCCTCTTTTTCTGTTTGGTCTTCTGCACTGTAGCCAAACACCAGTAATCCCCTCCGCCACGGGATAATGGCCACCTGGATGCCCGTCAACATTTGAGAGAAAAATAGAGAGTGTAAAATGAAGACGTGTTCGGATACAGACAGCGAGGGGTTTGGCCCGTTGATAATGAGCGGTTTGTGGGTGAGGAGGGGGAGGCAGTGAAATGCCAGGTAATCACACACTGTTACCGGCCTCCTTTCCTGCCCTGGATTCATTTCTGCCAGGTGCACGGTGCGTGTGTACACGTATGAGTGCTGGCACGGCACGGCAAAAAGTCCCGATATTATCCAAAATAACCCGGGAACAATGTTTATGATGCAGGTTGGATTAGCTGTAAGTAATAATAGATTTCACTCACTGTAAATATCCATCAGCAGTCATATTGCTTCAATTTTACAACAAACCGCCTTAAAAAAAACGGCTGAGAAATATTGAATATGTGATTATTAATGAAGAGCAACAGAACATATTTTAACAAGAAGAACCAGATCCTTTTTGGGGTATTTTTGATGATTGAACAATAATGAAAATATACATTTGCTGGTTTTCTGTCGATCCTTTATGAGTGAATTTGACATTCATTCAAATAAATTGCTAAAAGATTCTGAACACAAGATATATTATTTTTTTCCAAGCAAATATTCTTTTAGCTTTTGTTTTTAAATGTGTTTTGTTTGCAAATATGTCCAAAGTGACTTGTATATTTCACACGTTAAAGGGTTTTATAGGTTAACCTTTTTGACATTGGACTTAGGTCAAATATATTTCTTGGAAAGGTGAACCATTTAATTTCAAAGGTGTTCAAAATGTTGGAAAACGCACATGTGATTTTAATTGTTTTCACACCTCACACATGATTCCGTCTGATATTATGGCCAACTTTATAACCCCAAATGTCACCAAGTGCTCCGGTCCCAGCTGTTTCAGTCACGCTTTAGTGTCCCCTGATATAGCGGTTTTTTTCTGGTGCACTTCTAGTAAATATGTTTCTTAAATTGCATGTGTTTTGGCACAATTGTATTTTTATATTTGCATCGTTTCTGAAGCTGCAGTGTGTTTCCGTTAATGGCAATGTTTTGGGCCGTTGTAGCGCGTTTGCTTTACCGTAAAAAACATTAATACAATAACATTTAAAAAACTGGTCAATTTATACCAAATTAAAACAATTATAAAAGGTATAACAACCTGTGAGTTTTAACCAAGGCTCAGTTTAACCACTGAACTATTTCATCATTATGAATGTCCTTTTTGTGGTGGGATAAATAAAAAATTAGCGTTGAAAAAAAGCCGTAAATCACTCGTATTGTAAGTCAAATATAAAAGGCATAAATACATCAGTTGCATTTGTTCGATAAATAAAAAAACAGGTATTTCCCTCATTCAATACAGAGAAATAAAAGTCTCTAAATTGAAAACCCTCGGGGGGGCAAAGCTTCCTGTTTTGGTGAAAAGCTGTTGGGGGCGGAGCCAACCTCAGAAGCCCCGCCCACCTGCTCACCACCTCACCTGGGATTAAAAGAGGATTACCCGCGTCAGGTTCCCTCCACACAAAAGACCAAAAAGGCCAAGGTAGCGGTTACGTTATAATTTCAGGGGAGAAGGGAAGTCTGGACGGGAACCAGAGAGCATGATGGGATATGTGGGCGGGGCCGAGGATTAAGGAGGTGAGATGTTGTTGTCAGCTGTTCAGTGACTCAGAGTTTCTCACATCTGAGTTTCAGCCCCGTTTTTTTAACAAAGGCAACTTCAGATAAAGTGAATACATCATCCTAATATCACTTTATCATGTCCTCCATACTAACAGAGCTTTTCATGAGGATGGCAGAACTCTGAAGGGCATTCAAATGTTCTTCTGATAGCATGAATATCAACTTCTGTTATATCTAATATAGAGCTCTCAAAATAGTCTTGAGAAACATTTCATTTACAGCCAAACTGCTCAGAGGAGACAGGAAATGTGTTCCCTTTCCTCCTTCTTCTTGTAGTCACATTGCTTTTGGATTGAAGCCTGAGAGGTTTGAATATCTTTAGTCCCAGTGGACGCTTTTAAAAACGGCCAGCATTCATAAAACCGAACAATGGAAGAAGTAAGAATCTCAGAGGAATTGTTAATCGCTGCTTTAGGAAATGAGCGGTCACCATGATCTAATTGTGGAGATAACCCACTCTCTCCTTCACACCCTGAACGCCTCGTCACCTCCACACTTTAACTCCTCTGATCTCTGCCCATTCGCCGCCGCTCATTAAACGCTTTGCCGCCCACAAAGCGACACTTCAGCAAAACACATCTCCAAGGACGAGAGTGCAATTAATTAAGACTTGTTGTGTGATCTTTGGCTCGGAATAAAAACCCCTCTTTATCTTCCACACATGTTAAACACGGCACGATGAGCGATGCAAAGAAAAACGCTTTGCATTTCGTTCCCCTCATTTCTTCGACTGAAAGCGCACGGAAACAGTGATATGGGGAAAAAAAGGATGAAGAATAAAACAGCGGGACTCACAGGGGACCTCCACATATTTGGCAGCTGCTTTCACCTTTCAGAGGGGGAGGAGGAGGAGAGGAAGGAAGACACTGGAGTTCAGCTGAGATCTGGTTTCCAGCAAATAACAGGTTTCCTCAGAGTCGGAGAAAGAAAGCGCACTCTGTGTTCGCGGGGACAAAAAGGAGCGTACTCACTGTGAAGGAGAGGATCGAAGAGAAGAATGTGCCTTCGTCGTATCTGGAGAGTTTGGAGAGGACGCCGTCTAAAACAGCGGCGAACTGCAGAGGGGAAGACACAACAACCGTTAATGCTCTTACTCTGCCGTCATGTGGACGCTTTTCAACCGGCTAAACATCTAATGCTGCCGTTACTAAGATTTGAGAAACTGAAACAAAGCAATCAGAATTATTTGAGAATTTCTCTTAGAGTTTATATGGTTTTAGTGCATTCATTCAGTCAGTGGTTTAAGACACAGTAAAGAAAATATACGTTTTATTAGAAAATGTTATTTGTATAATGAACGACAAATACAATTTAATCACAACATGCAAAAAATAGTGAACAAAGTGTAAAACAAATAAAGCCGTAAATAAAAGAAAACATGGATAATATTAATAATATACTGATAATAATAAGACAAATAGAAATGTGATTTAATAACAGAATAAAAAGTGACCAACAATGATTATAATACAAATTATGAAATAAAGCAGAACTTTTACAAATTTAAAAACATTCAAAAGAGTGAGCACATAGAACATGAATATAATAACATGTTCAGTACAAGCAAAACACCAACGGATACGGAAAAATGAAATCAGAATAGAAAGTGTTAAATCTATCATCTTTTCTAGCAAGTGTGAGGCTTTAAAAAAAGAAGTGGAAAAATAAAACATGTCTTAAAAGAATAGAATAATAACTAAATAACAAAAAGAAGTGTAAGGTGTGACCCCACTCCGCCTGCATGGAAAGCCCGGTGTAAACAGCATGAGAGGATTTGATTGGAAAGAAATGTACCTTTGTGACCAGGGAGGAAAGCATGTCTTTGAACGCCTCGTCGATCAGAACATCGATTTTGGAGTGGTATTGTTGCTTGGGGGGAGGCGGGGGGGGGGGGGGGGGGAGACAAAAAGCAATATTTTATTATTTCGAGAAAGACACACAAAAAGTCAAAGTGACTCCTCGCCTCCTGAGACAGAAGTACAGCTTTGTCTGTTCTGTAAGAGACAGAGAGGAGAAACCTACAATGAACATCAAGTCTTCACACACACACTCTCACACACACCCGTGACAAACCTCCCCATCCGTGCCCCTCCGCTGAGTTAAGCAGCTAATAGGACCATTCAGCGTCTGAATGGCATTCCCGTCCGCGCTGGAAAAAGCGAAGGAATCTGAAGGATACTTTTTGTGCGTCTCCCTACAATTAGAGCAGCCTTGTATTGCTCTAAAGCACCGGTCCAGCTGCGAGGACCAAAGGCTCACACAAGATTCAATTAATCCGCCATTTCATGTCTCGTTTGCCCCCCCCTGAAAACATATTCATGGCACCTTTTCCCTTGAAGGATAAAAAATAAAAAGGCTGGGGCTGCGGGCTGAATGGCGGCAGCAGCAGGGGAGTTCATCTCTGGGCGACAATGCCCTTTCACTGGCCGTCTAAAGAACACCCAAATTAAAAATTTCAATCAACAAAGCGAACAGATCGCTGACAAATTGCGGGTCCTGTGAGGTCAGAGCCGACAGCCCTCATTTTGTCCCCCCCCCCCCCTCTCCACAAGTCCGCAAAATGGCTTTCAGCGCGCCCATCTTCCTGCAGATCTTGAGAGCTTTTTCTTTTTTCCTCTCTTCTTACCTCAATTAACATCGCTGCTCTATCCCCCCCCCTCCTCCCCGTAAGACAGCAGAGAAATAGTTTGGTCTTTGCCGCTGCTCCTCCAGCTCTGTGAGATGTTTTAGATTCTGCAACCGGGTCACATTTCCCCCCCCCCCCCCCCCACGCCGTCGCTATTCAAATAACCTCAGCGACAAAAAGACAGCACACTCATTAGCATGTTCATTAATTAACGCTGATTAGCGCAGTGTATAAAAGCAGAATTCATGAATCCAGGAGTTTAATGTCTGTATTGAACTGTCAAGAGCAGATTGTTCAGTCCTGCCTGTTGAGCTGGAACAATCTGGAAGCATTCTCAGTCAATACAAGAGGTGTGATTGAGGAACGCCAGCAGGATTTGTTGCCAGAAAGGATTCGATGCAGATGGACGCTCTGACCGCACTAGAGGTCTGCCGTGACGTCTCTGAGAGCCTTCAGACTGTCAGGGGTCAGAGGTCAGGAGGCCTCATTCACAACACCCACCGCCAAGTGAGCACGAGCTGCATCCACTGAACCACATTCAGGAGAATCAAGTGATGTTTAAAGAGCACAGAGAAAGAAACTTGCTGAATTCAAACGGCTCGCTGAAGGCTACATGCTTTTATGATTGTCGGGTTGCATTTAACAAGATAAAACCAGCATAAAGGCTCTTATAGATATTAAAGTCATTATAACCACTTTTGTACAAGTGGGATTTCAGGCACACGTCAATCACATCGATTCGTTAACATACAGAACAGCAATATAAGAACAACAGAGTAAAATATAACAGAGGTTTAAAGAGGACATATAATGCACATATGTGTATATTGTGCTTATTATTTGAAGGTTATTCCAACACCAACGGCCTAAGTAACATACATTTTCTTTCTAGTCTCACTTCGCACATATGGCACTTTAAATCCGGGCCAATTATTTGATCGAAGCTTGCAAGCATTCTGAACAACAACATATGTGCATTCAAATGAAGCCTTGCTGCTTCCTCCCCGTATAGAAATGAAAACCATATGTCCAGACTGTATAATGTGCAGAAAGGAGACCTGTAGCCTTGTTGGAAATGTTGCTCTCAGAGTAGATCAGCAATGTCTACATTTGGAAGTGGCTTATAAGTGTTCCAGTTATAACGCTGTAAAGTATTAAAGACATAACGGTTTATGTAGAACCTCAAATATACACTTAAAGTGGACCTATCATGCTATATTGGAAACATATATTGTAGGGCCATACCTATACAAAACATGTCTGTTTTTTTTTCAAAATATCAAACAGATCACCCATTGTAGCCATGCCTCATGCTGCTCATACCCCTCCTTTGAAGCACTGTTAGAGAAATGCAGATTTTGGGTCCTTAGCTTTAAAAAAAAAAAAAAGAGGAGGCGGAGCTAATGCCTGATCAGAATTCTACCGGAGATAAAGTTCAATTCTGTTGTGATAAAACGCCATCCTGTTTAAACCACGTCAAGGATTATTTCTGAAACAGTATGGAGCTCAAATGCTTTTTCTCTCTCAGGTTTATCACAAGGTGAGTTCCTTTGTATTTCCTGCTTTTTAAACACATGTGCTCTCCAGTACAGGTTAGCTCTGAGTGTTAGCGAGGCTTGCTAATGTAAACAAAGACGTCCAAAACACGTCAGGCATTGTTTCCAATAGCAACTTTCTGTGGGTCCGCCGACGTCACCACGGATGGAATCTGTATCCGCTCGTTGTAGCCCCGTTTTTAAAAGATTTGGGTACAGAGGAAAAGAGAGAGGTTTTATTTTCTGACGCTGCGTGAGTTCCCCGACACACCGGGGACACATGTTGATGTAGAGAAGACATCACAAAGTGCATTTTGCATGATAGGTCCCCTTTAAGTTAGCTCTATAATAACCAACCATGGTTTCAAAGTGTTTCTAATGAGGCAAGGAACTTTAAGACATGCCAAATGCTACAAATATGAACAAGGGTAAGAAACTATCCTACGTCACACAGACAAAGGTGAGGGTTTGGGTTAACAATCCCTGCTCTGCTTCCTCTGTGCTAACAATGAACCAAGAAGTGTTGAAACACCCAGAAGAAGGGAAGAGACGACAACGAAGCTCCCATGTTTTAAATATAGGTTACGTGGAACTGCTTCAGGTGAAAATGTTTCCCCAAGATATAAACTTTTTAGAAGACAAAGCTCGATGTCTGCTCATTGTTTAGAGAGATGTCTCGTTCTTTAAGTCTAAGAAGTTTCCTTAAGCTTCTACATATAACATATGAAGGTCCTGACACACCAATCTGACACCAAAGGACACGTCCCGACGGACCCGACTGTTGCGTCGCCTCTCGTCTCTGCGTCTTGGCCATGTGTCGCACTGGAACACACCGCAAAGACTTCAGCCGACGGCCAAGTAGCACGTACGAACTTGCGCATGCGTGAGTGGCAATAACTCTCCTTACCAGCAGGCGGCGGTAGTGTGTATTCGTCATCCAAAAGAAGCAACAACCGGAAGACAGACTGTGTGATAACCGAGAGAAGAAGAACAGACTGCGTGATATAAACAAACAACACATAGCGTGTGTGTCTCTACAGCGAGAAGCTCACGGGGCTTTCCCGAACCTGTGTCGAGAGCTGGCGTTAAATGAAATCTCAGATTTGCCTTCTTAATCGTTTGTTTGGGTCCCTCACTTCCGTTTCGCTTCTCATGCACTGAGTCGCTAATCTGAACAGCCAATCAGAGGGATTTCTTTTGCCGACAAACAGCCTCCAGATTCAACATGTCGAATCGGCGGCGGAAGGTGTCGGCACGACAGCAAAGACACGACGGGGCGGGACACACCAATCTGAGTAGGGCGACAGGACGCTCATCGACGGCCAGACATCTATCGACACCGAAAATTGGCTTGGTGTGTCCGGACCTTTATTTGTAGGAGTTCCCTGTATGCAGAGGATATGACGCTTTACTGCAGTCTCCCACTACGTCTTTGAGGGGTAAACACGGCATGCTTTTACATTTGTTGTCTTTATTATCTACATCTGATTAACTAGTTAAGGGGCTTTCAGCAAATCAAGAGTTATTCAGGTGTGGAAAAGTATGTTAACACGTAGAATCTCTCCAGGACCACCAGTTGACCCACTGCCTTTGCGAAGTCTCCATTTTGAGATTAGTCTTTGTGATATTCAGTTTGATTGATGAGTTGGGATGTGTTAAGATAAGAAAACAAGGCCGGTTGGAGCTCAGGTGGAGAAGTGTGACAGGAAAGACATGTTTTGAGGTGATGGACGGACTTACCCATTGTTTGTCAATCTGGGATTCAAACAATGACGAGGATGGACGTGAGGGACGGGGAGGAGATGAGACGAGAAAAAAAAAAAGAAGGAAAACCGTTATTTAATGACACATCAGTTTAAAAACATCTTAACTTTTAATTAGAGAACTATGAGATGGAGTTACTACTTTCCATTTCCATTATAGTTTTAACCTTTAAATTAAAAATTCAAGACCCATTTTAATATCACATTGAACAAGAATGAGTAATTGTCAGATTTGAGTTGTGAAATCGATCAGAAGTGAGACTCCTAACGTCTCTCTGATTGTTGGCTGTGAAACGAGCAGAAAGCAGACTGGGTTGTAAAAGCTTTTTTTGCCTTTTGAGAACTCCTGAGAACATTTCATCCTCAAGGTTATTCACTCAGAGTTCAGCCTGACGAACTGAATCAAACATTTACTGCGACAACAAAGTCAAACGGAGGCGTGTTGTGTTTGGAAACTCAGAGGAACTTCGTGAAATCAGTTTTTACTCCACACAATGTGTCCCTTACAAAACGCTCAGTTTCTTGATTCTGGCTTCTAAATCTTTACTCTCGTTACTTGGTTCTTTAAAGAGTCCTTTCCTGCTGATGTTCAGGTGTATATCAGTATGTAGTGTCTCTACTTTAAAGAGTCCTCTCCTGCTGATGTTCAGGTGTATATCAGTATGTAGTGTCTCTACTTTAAAGAGTCCTCTCCTGCTGATGTTTAGGTGTATATCAGTATGTAGTGTCTCTACTTTAAAGAGTCCTCTCCTGCTGATGTTCAGGTGTATATCAGTATGTAGTGTCTCTACTTTAAAGAGTCCTCTCCTGCTGATGTTTAGGTGTATATCAGTATGTAGTGTCTCTACTTTAAAGAGTCCTCTCCTGCTGATGTTCAGGTGTATATCAGTATGTAGTGTCTCTACTTTAAAGAGTCCTCTCCTGTTGATGTTCAGGTGTATATCAGTATGTAGTGTCTCTACTTTAAAGGGTCCTCTCCTGCTGATGTTCAGGTGTATATCAGTATGTAGTGTCTCTACTTTAAAGAGTCCTCTCCTGCTGATGTTCAGGTGTATATCAGTATGTAGTGTCTCTACTTTAAAGAGTCCTCTCCTGCTGGTGTTCAGGTGTATATCAGTATGTAGTGTCTCTACTTGAAAGAGTCCTCTCCTGCTGATGTTCAGGTGTATATCAGTATGTAGTGTCTCTACTTTAAAGAGTCCTCTCCTGCTGGTGTTCAGGTGTATATCAGTATGTAGTGTCTCTACTTTAAAGAGTCCTCTCCTGCTGATGTTCAGGTGTATATCAGTATGTAGTGTCTCTACTTTAAAGAGTCCTCTCCTGCTGATGTTCAGGTGTATATCAGTATGTAGTGTCTCTACTTTAAAGAGTCCTATCCTGCTGATGTTCAGGTGTATATCAGTATGTAGTGTCTCTACTTGAAAGAGTCCTCTCCTGCTGATGTTCAGGTGTATATCAGTATGTAGTGTCTCTACTTTAAAGAGTCCTCTCCTGCTGATGTTCAGGTGTATATCAGTATGTAGTGTCTCTACTTTAAAGAGTCCTCTCCTGCTGATGTTCAGGTGTATATCAGTATGTAGTGTCTCTACTTTAATCTACGACTTTATTATTTATTTCATTTTTGTCTGATTGTGTCTAGTCTAATACTAGAACCAGTGTGTGTGTGTGTGTGTATAGAGCTGGAGTATCCTTCTGCAGGCAGGTATTGAGTGTGTGAGAAGGATTAAATGGACGGATGGAGGTGTTCTCTGAGTGGCGCTGGCATGTTGGAGGCTGGTGAAGAAAGAAGCTGAAGGTCAAGAGAGCAGCGAGCTTAGATCTCTGTCAGGACCGTCTGCGGCTAAGGGTTTCACTCTCTGAGACGCCAAGGACACACACACACACACACACACACACACACACACAACACACACACACACACACACACACACACACACACACACACACACACACACACACACACACCACACACACACCACACACACACACCACACACACACACAACACACACACACACACACACACACACACACGCTTCACGGTCGTCCAGTCATCAGCTCGAGAAGAGAACACAAACACACCGAGCGACTGTCCGCTGGTGACGGGGGGGATCATCCCGTTTATAGGGGCTGATCTAATAAAGGATGTCTGATTCTGAAACTTTAATACGGACCTGTTGACTACAAACACTTCTTTCCCTAAAATAGTTTATTTACTGCTGGTCATTCTCCAAACCATGCATAACCTTCTTACTTTCTTTAATTTAGATTTCTGTGGGTAGGACTTTAACTTCTTCTCATTTTATGACTTCTATAATTAAATGTAACTATCATTTTCATTATATGTTCTTTAAAGGGGAATGCACTTGTTGATGTCTTTTCTCCATCAACATGTGTCCCCGGTGTGTCGGGGAACTCACGCAGCGTCAGGAAATAAAACCCTCTCTCTTTTCCTCCGTACCCAAATCTCTAAAAACGGGGAACTACGGAGCTGATCCAGATTTGCGTCCGATATGACGTAATATCTGAAATGTGGACCCACGGCCCAATCAGAAACGTTGCTATCAGAAACAATGCCCGACTGTTTTGGACGTAATATGGTCGGTGTTTACATTAGCATCGCTAACACTCAGAGCTAACCTGTACTGGAGAGCATGTGTGTGAAGAAGCAGGAAGTAGAAAGGAACTCACCTTGTGGTATAACCGGCAAGAGAGAAAGCCTTTGAGCTCCAAACTGTTTCAGAGAGAATCCTTGATAATCCATGATATGGCGTTTCATCACGGCAGCATTTAGTTTAGACAGTAGCTGCCGGGTCGCGCATGAGCTCAGACCCTCCTCTTTAAAGCTTTATACCCAAATCAGCACTTTAGAAACAGGAAGTGAAACAGAGGGATATGAGGCATGGCTAGAATGATCTGTTTGGTGTTTTGAGCAAAACACTTCATAGACGTGTTTTTTATATATGTGTATATATCTGAGACCTATATATTGCCTACAAATAGCATGATAGGTGACCTTTAATGTTTTCCTTTCGAGGGTTTATTTCTGACTAAATGGTTAATAAAAAACATTTTCTAGCAGATACATATCAAATTCAGGAGACCATGCTGTCATTTAACACAACATGTTTGAACTGCAATGGAATATTACTCTATAAATGGCAACAATTAACAATTATTTCCATTATGGATTAACAGTTTGGTCCATAAAGTCAGAAATGTGTGAAACATGTCCTTCCTAGTTCCTCATGGTCCAAGGCATGTCTTTGCATGTTTTGTATCAGTCCAAAACCAACACATGTTCCCTTCTGTATGATATACAATAGAGAAAACCAGGAACTAGTGGACAGGGTGACGTTGGGATTTTCACCCATTATTTATTTCGTAGGGGCTGATCGGACAGCTTCACTCCACCTGCTCACTCTGAAGATTAGGGAGACACTGATGACTTGTTATCACATGTTGTTGTATAATGTTTTTATAATTTGTATGCTATGACGTTTGTATTTTGTTTTTGCTGGCTTTGTACAGCCCTTTGAGGCACTTCTTGTGATTTGGGGCTATAATACATTTTGATTTGGTTTTTTAGATTTGATGATGAGCTGTGCGATCAAAATGTTACTCGGGGAATATAAAGAAAGCTGCAGGACAGTTTGTCTCAGACAGTATGAGGGAGTTGGACTGACCTGCTAGCTTCACTTCTCACATCTTTTTTATATGTATGTATTATATACATTGAAAAAGGTCTCCTATTATACTGTTTTTCATCAATATATTATAGGTCTCAGATATATCCAATCCCCTCTGTTTCAGCCCTGTTTCCAAAGTGCTGATTCTCTGTCTGTTACTTTAGATGAAAATAGGGATGCTCCGATCGCCAATTTCGGGGCCGATCGCCGGAATCAGTATCGGCCGATACCGATCGCCGATCCGATCGAGTGGGCGGGGCCTTAAATGGAAGATTTAAACATCACTTTAAATCTTCCATTTAAAGTGATGTTTAAAACTCAGCTCATTCACTGGAGCTTCCACAAACAACAACCAACTTAATTATTACATTCAAATGATGTACATTATTCAAGTTTACATTCACTTTGGAGAATAACATGGGAGAGATGAGCGGAAGCGCTCTCTTTTTCTCTCTCCCTCTCTCTCTCCCCTCTCTCCCCCCCCTCTCTCCCCGTCTCTCCTGACAGCCGGTCAGTATCTCATGCAGCTCACTGATCCAGTAATGAGTGACCCGACAGTGAAGAATACATATATTTATAATGACTAGTTTAGCTTGTTCCAGAGGTAGATAAAATAGCTAAGTGTGTTAGGTCTAACTCTTGTGTGTTTCGTCCCGCTTACCGGTCCTGCTTCACACACACGTTGCATACCGCTATTTTACTGTCTTTTTCGGACACCTTAAAATACTGCCAGACCGGTGAAGCCATTTTGGCGAGCTTGTTTTGCCGCACACAGAGAAAAGTGTCATGTGATCAGCTCTCGCGATCGGCTCTCGCGATCGGCATGTTTAGAGAGCACCGATCGATCGGTAGAGAGTGAGTATCGGGATCGGCCGATACTCACTCTCTACCGATCGATCGGAGCATCCCTAGATGAAAATAAGGAGCCCCTCCCCACGCCCCTCTGAGAGAGATTTGGTTACAAAGAACACAATGGTGCTCTAGGAGGAGATTCAGGGGATAAGGTGTTGATGTAGAAGAGACATGGAGAAGAGGAGACACATGTTGATGTAGAAGAGACATGAAGAAGAGGGGACACATGTTGATGTAGAAGAGACATGAAGAAGAGGGGACACATGTTGATGTAGAAGAGACATGAAGAAGAGGGGACACATGTTGATGTAGAAGAGACATGAAGAAGAGGGGACACATGTTGATGTAGAAGAGACATGGAGAAGAGGGGACACATGTTGATGTAGAAGAGACATGAAGAAGAGGGGACACATGTTGATGTAGAAGAGACATGGAGAAGAGGGGACACATGTTGATGTAGAAGAGACATGAAGAAGAGGAGACACATGTTGATGTAGAAGAGACATGAAGAAGAGGGGACACATGTTGATGTAGAAGAGACATGAAGAAGGGACACATGTTGATGAAGAAGAGACATGAAGAAGAGACATGAAGAAGAGGGGACACATGTTGATGTAGAAGAGACATGAAGAAGAGGGGACACATGTTGATGTAGAAGAGACTTGAAGAAGAGGGGACACATGTTGATGTAGAAGAGACTTGAAGAAGAGGGGACACATGTTGATGTAGAAGAGACATGAAGAAGAGGGGACACATGTTGATGTAGAAGAGACATGAAGAAGAGGAGACACATGTTGATGTAGAAGAGACATGAAGAAGAGGAGACACATGTTGATGAAGAAGAGACATGAAGAAGAGGGGACACATGTTGATGAAGAAGAGACATGAAGAAGAGGGGACACATGTTGATGTAGAAGAGACATGAAGAAGAGGGGACACATGTTGATGAAGAAGAGACATGAAGAAGAGGAGACACATGTTGATGAAGAAGAGACATGAAGAAGAGGGGACACATGTTGATGAAGAAGAGACATGAAGAAGAGGGGACACATGTTGATGAAGAAGAGACATGAAGAAGAGGGGACACATGTTGATGTAGAAGAGACATGAAGAAGAGGGGACACATGTTGATGTAGAAGAGACATGAAGAAGAGGGGACACATGTTGATGTAGAAGAGACATGAAGAAGAGGGGACACATGTTGATGTAGAAGAGACATGAAGAAGAGGGGACACATGTTGATGTAGAAGAGACATGAAGAAGAGGGGACACGTGTTGATGTAGAAGAGACACGAAGAAGAGGGGACACATGTTGATGTAGAAGAGACATGAAGAAGAGGATTTTGCACAATAGGTGACCTTTAAGGGATGTATTCTGATATTCAGCGAACACTCGTTTGTCCCACCAACAAGAAGCAGATCCTGCAGGGACAGATCAATAGGACATGATTTTGAAGTTCCCAGATGGAGATGTCTTTTCTTCTTTAAAAGCTTTAGCTAGAAGCCAAACGACATAAAGTAATCACACCCTGAAGCGTACTCTTCTCCTCCATGTGCCCTCCTCTCACCTCCTGGCCAGTGTCCAGCACGCAGAGTTTGGAGCACTGCTTCTTGGCGTCCATCAGCACGTTGAACATCGTGCAGACGGCCAGCGGCACCCTGAAGTCCGTCGACTTACACGCCTTCTGCATTTTGGCATCAAACGCAGATTTTGTTCTGTGGGGAAAAACAGCAAGAAGGGTTTGTTGTTGTTGTTGATCATAAATGGCTACAACTTGATATATTTCCTGGTAACTGTGTTGTCCCTCCCAAAACATGACGGTCTATATTCAAATCTCAAATAAAAACTCACCTTTTGTTTTTTAGAGAGATTAAATATTGTGTGTTTTATGTTAGGATTATTTTGATTAAACTCTCACCCATTTTGTGAGAGTCTTTTCGGTTACTACAAATTCTGCATTCAAACAATTATTGCAGTGTTAGGAATTGATTCAAGAACTCATAAACAAGCATCACAAAGGCAGGTTCTTGTTCAGAGATTGATGAGTTTCTTTCGGTAAGGTACGTTTATTTATATAGCACATTCAAAGTGCTTTCCATCATCATTAACACTTAATAGGAAGACAACAGAAAGGAACACAATCAATAAAGGTTTTCAACTACTTTCCTAGATTTGCACCTGAGCTTGTTGAGGTCATAAACTTAGACGCTAACGACTAAAGGGACATGTATGTGTATGTAAAAGGTTGTGTACTATCTTTAGTACACTTCAGCGTTGGTAGAGGTGAGGTAAAAGAGCCCTCAGTCTGACCTCTTGACGCAGGCCTCCATCATGTCGCTGGCCATCAGCTTCAGCCTCTGCTCCAGATGTTTGGCGAACTCCGGCTCCGGCCAATGGAGGTCGAGCACGAACGACTGCAGAGCGTCCAGCTTCCAGAACAAATCCTCCGCGGTGGCCGAGCCGTTACTGTGGGGGGGGGGTTATTAACATAAATAAAACACAAACTTCTAAGTTCTGAAGTTGCTGATCATCACTTGTAAACATGGATAATAATTCCTTATATTTATTATAGCGCTTTTTCAATGACTCAAAGCGCTTTATGTGTACATATCTACTTAGAATAACTGATGTGTGCTTTTCTATATGCTTATTACTGTATGATTGCATGCCTTTTTGACCTGATATGCCACCTTTACTGTAAGAATAGAATAGAATTGGGAGGGATGAAACCCTCTTTAATGGTCACACATGCAGAGCACACAGCACACACAGTGACATGTGTTCTCTGCTTTTAACCCATCCTAGTACCAGGAGTCTAGCACCAGGAGTCTAGTACCAGGAGTCTAATACTAGGAGTCTAGTACCAGGAGTCTAGTACCAGGAGTCTAGTACCAGGAGCCTAGCACCAGGAGTCTAATACTAGGAGTCTAATACTAGGAGTCTAGTACCAGGAGTCTAATACTAGGAGTCTAGTACCAGGAGTCTAGCACCAGGAGTCTAGTACCAGGAGTCTAGCACCTGGAGTCTAGTACCAGGAGTCTAGTTCCAGGAGTCTAATACTAGGAGTCTAGTACCAGGAGTCTAATACTAGGAGTCTAGTACCAGGAGTCTAGTACCAGGAGTCTAGTACCAGGAGTCTAGTACCAGGAGTCTAGTACCAGGAGTCTAGCACCAGGAGTCTAATACTAGGAGTCAAGTACCAGGAGTCTAGTACCAGGAGTCTAGTACCAGGAGTTTAGCACCAGGAGTCTAGCACCAGGAGTCTAATACTAGGAGTCAAGTACCAGGAGTCTAGCACCAGGAGTCTAGCACCAGGAGTCTAATACTAGGAGTCTAGTACCAGGAGTCTAGTACCAGGAGTCTAGCACCAGGAGTCTAGTACCAGGAGTCTAGTACCCGGAGTCTAGCACCATGAGTCTAGCACCAGGAGTCTAGCACCAGGAGTCTAGTACCCGGAGTCTAGCACCAGGAGTCTAATACTAGGAGTCTAGTACCAGGAGTCTAGTACCAGGAGTCTAGCACCAGGAGTCTAGTACCCGGAGTCTAGCACCAGGAGTCTAGCACCAGGAGTCTAGCACCAGGAGTCTAGTACCCGGAGTCTAGCACCAGGAGTCTAATACTAGGAGTCTAGTACCAGGAGTCTAGCACCAGGAGTCTAGCACTAGGAGTCTAGTACCAGGAGTCTAGTACCAGGAGTCTAGTACCAGGTGTCTAATACTAGGAGTCTAGTACCAGGAGTCTAGTACCAGGAGTCTAGCACCAGGAGTCTAGTACCAGGAGTCTAGCACCAGGAGTCTACTACCAGGAGTCTAGCACCAGGAGTCTAGTACCCGGAGTCTAGCACCAGGAGTCTAATACCAGGAGTCTAGTACCCGGAGTCTAGTACACGGAGTCTAGTACACGGAGTCTAGCACCAGGAGTCTAGCACCCGGAGTCTAGCACCAGGAGTCTAGCACCAGGAGTCTAGCACCAGGAGTCTAGTACCAGGAGTCTAGCACCAGGAGTCTAGTACCCGGAGTCTAGTACCAGGTGTCTAATACTAGGAGTCTAGTACCAGGAGTCTAGTACCAGGAGTCTAGCACCAGGAGTCTAGTACCAGGAGTCTAGCACCAGGAGTCTAGTACCAGGAGTCTAGCACCAGGAGTCTAGTACCAGGAGTCTAGCACCAGGAGTCTAGTACCCGGAGTCTAGCACCAGGAGTCTAGCACCAGGAGTCTAATACCAGGAGTCTAGTACCCGGAGTCTAGTACACGGAGTCTAGCACCAGGAGTCTAGCACCAGGAGTCTAGCACCAGGAGTCTAGTACCCGGAGTCTAGTACCAGGAGTCTAGCACCAGGAGTCTAGTACCCGGAGTCTAGCACCAGGAGTCTAGTACCCGGAGTCTAGTACCCGGAGTCTAGCACCAGGAGTCTAGTACCAGGAGTCTAGCACCAGGAGTCTAGTACCAGGAGTCTAGTACATGTTATCTTATGTTATGTTATCTTATCCTGAGAGGAACAAAGAGGTCACCAGCAGGTTCAGTGCGCTGTGTTCTCAGAGAGTGGATCAAAGATTGACAAAGCTTTTCTCTACAGCAAATGACTTTGGATTTGTATTTAATGTGCATAAACATTTGAATGCACTGTCATGATTGGATCTTCGCTGGTATTTTGCACAACCACGGTGGCCTGAAACATATTTCCTGTCATCCGGAGAGGAACAAAGAAGAGTTCAGGTCACCGACAGGTTCTGTGTTCTCAGAGACAGATGGACGTCTCCCTCCTTCTCCTCTCAACACAGGTTACAAAGCAACACATGGCAACGACATCCAAGTGTACAGCGGCTACAGTGACAGAGGATGGAGGAGGGTGGGGGGGTTAAACCAAGCACCACTCACTCCCTCACTTTTCTCACTTCGCCTTTAAAAGACTGTTACCTTAACAAGTGGCGCACAGGAATAAACGCTTTGGGCTGAGTTTGAGGTGCAATTAAAGCTCTGTGTCTCTCCCCCTCATGTCTAATTAGTGGCGCTCTTCTTCTTCCTCTCTCCCCGGGGACGGGACGATCCCACTCGCCCGTCTGTGCTCGCTAATGAAGTGCCAGATTATTATTTTTTTCAGTGCATCGAGGAGGTAGAGGAACAGTGTGGTCTGTGTTGTGGGAGAGGAGCCTTTTTAAGAAACGCCACCAACGCGGCCAGTTCTGCTGCAGACTGACAGACACATTGAAACATGCAGAACTGTTTCTACAACTCTGATCTCTCACAGCTGAAGCTAAGAAACTAACATTGATGGGTTCATAACATTCATAATTTATTCCACATTTCCACTGCTCGACTGCACTCTCTTTTTGTTTTACCATTAGTAACATTTGTGGACGGTACCTGGTTCAAAATGATTTCAGCCAATTGTACGCAAAGATATTACTACAGTATTTATTTCTGCACTCTTTTTAAGTCTGTTTCTCATATGTTAACTATATTGAATGTTGCATTGATTGAATCCTTGGACAAAACATAATTTGTTTTCTTTTGTGAATTTCATAAATAAAGCATTTGTTTCTTAGATATTGTTTAGACCAATGATTTGTCAAAGAAAATGGTAACATGTGCAAGACTGCACTTCCTGCACAATCTGGCAATTATAAAATAGCCAATCCACTTTCAATATTGTCCGTGCATACGTAACTATTTGGTTTGTAAATGAGAGGATTTAGTAGGTGACGTCTGTCAGATAAGAGTCCTTCCTACTCTGCGGATAACGTCTTCAGAGGAAAACTAAATAGTGAATAGTACTGGAACAAAACGTGAGTCACGTCCAGCTGAATCAGTAGAAGTGAGGCATTAGGCGCTTTCACACCAAGTACTTTTCCCAGGAATAGTTCCCGGAACTTTTCCCCGGAACTTTTATTTCCTGCAACGATCTAGTAAATGACGTTCACACCGCGTTCAAGTCCCCGAGGGAGCAGCTGACGTCACTTCTTCTTCTGCTTTGGGTTTACTGGCAGGCCGCAAATCACTTCACGGCGTATACTGCCACCCAAAGTCCCCGGCCGGAAGTCCCCGGAGTTGGGGACTGGCTTCAGTAGAAGCTGCTCGCCAGAACGCCGACACCTCCTCATCTCCACCGCTCCCATGTTTTTTTTTGTGTTGCCATAAGTTAGTCTCTCTTCGTTTCTGCGCTGGGCTAATGCTAATGCTAATAATGCTAATGCAAGCAAATAAAATGGTGGTTTCACAAAAACTTTTCCGAGTTTTACGGAGCGTGGTTTGCAATTCGCCCAGCCAATCAGAAATTGGAACCTTTTTCTCCCCAGGAAAGTACCACCTCTCTAGCAGGCACTACAAAGGGGGGAAAAGGTTCGCAAAAAAGTTCTAGTTCCAAATCTTTTTGGTGTGAAGGCAAAATCCCAGGAACTATTGGAACTATTCCTGGGAAAAGTACTCCGGTGTGAAAGCCCCTAATGCTTTTTGAAAGAGTACTCCATGTTCATCATGAGTTCACAGAGTCCAAGGTTTTTAAATGTCTTGTTTTGTCCAACCAACAGTACAACGTTTGCAATGATGAAGAAACACAGAAAAGCAGAACATTACATTTGAGGAGCTGAAGCAGAGATGTTTCCATGAGATTAAATGCAAAATATGCAAGTAGTCTTGAGCTTGCACTTTTTTAACCGTTTATTTGATCTGTTTTATGTCTTGTATATAAACTGTGACCCATGTTTTTCTGTGTATATGACGTTACAACAGTGGTGAACCGTGTCTATCACAACTGGACCTTATTTTCTTTTCACTGAATTGTCGTCTTGAAAAGGGTACTCACAACAATTCCGCAACAACATCATCTTCACCTGTTGCACTCGCCATTTCAACGTTAAAAACAATAAAACGGCATGAATTGCTTCGTCGCATCTAGATCCTCTGTCTCGAGCCAGTTAACTAGCGGGCCTTCTAGAATACCCTGGAACCGAGGGGAACTCTGAAAGAACACGCCCATTGGCTACAAATCAATATATGATTGGTTGATCAAACTGTCAGTCCAAACATACGCTCTCATTCAGTGCAACGGCCAGGGTATTCGATCAAGGATGTAGAATACCTTGTTGAAGGATATTCTACCCAGAGACCCAGAACAAGATCTGATTGGTTGCTTTCTTTTCTAACACAAAACCACTGAAATGCGTAGAGCATGGTCCGAGAAGGACAAACAAATCAACGTAACACTGTAATATTACAGATCAATAACACAGATACCATTCTCAATTATTCATTTTATTACATTTTATTTATATAATTAAATCGATTTTTTGTTTGTTTTATCCGAGTGTTCCAGGGTATTCTCTGAATACCTTGAAGGCCCTGACGGTCCGCCACTGCGTTACAACCTTTGAACCTTTGAACCTTCATATGATTTTTGATGGTTTTAATGACGTATTATATTACTTTTGAGTTGTTAGGAGTGTAGCACACTACAGGAAAGGGAACAACCCAAAGAGAATAATAGGACCCCTTTAATCAGCCCTAATAATGTGGATACTGGATTCTCGTAATTTGTGGTTGAGCCACTTTTTAAATGATGAAAATTCTTCCATCTCTTTCAGATGACTAAAATAGATGAACCTCTTTCTAATATTTGAGATGGTATATTTTTGATGTCTCCTTTGAACTGGTTGAAGTGTACCATTGTGATTTTACACTCTTAACTCTAAACAGACTTACTTAAAATTACACTGCGTTATGCTGCTTGATTCAAACTGAATGTTTGTATTGATTTTGTCATCAGTTTTTAACAAGACAAATGAAAGTATACCTTCATGAACTACCTTTTAAATAGGTAGGTTGTATACAAATGTTGTAAATGTAAAAAAATGGTTGAAGTGTACATTTCACATTTGTATTTAATTTAACACACTTAATATAAATAACAACCTGCTTTATATTGTGTCTAAAGCTCTAGTGTTTTATCGTCAGAGTTTATAGATTTTTTATCTTCACTGTCAACTTGAATATTTTCTGTTTTAATTCTACTATTGTTTATTTCTACAATTTCTCCGTATGTGCAATGCCTTGTTTTTTATGCGGCTGCAACACAAACATTTCCCAATCTTATCTTAAACATTGAACTCCTGAAAGCTTTTCACACAGAACTTGTCTCGACTTACAAGATGTCAGGTAGATTCAACCCATGCAAGCTAGAAAAAGAAAGTGTTGAGTTATTATCGCGCTGATATCCTTCACATGGTGACATGCACACAGCACAAGGACTCGTCACAACACACACTCTCCACCAACGAGCCTCTGAGGAGCGATCGCATGCAGGCGCCCCCCCCGCTGACAGCAGAGACACGGTGTCACAGAAACAATTTGTCGTTTCTCAGCGCCGAGCTTGGCTCAGAGAGATACGAGTAACGCTGCGTGCTCTTTGTCTCTCAGAGACTGGGACCAAACAGGATGACAAGTAGAAGTTTTGAAGTAGTACGACGGTAAAACTTGAGCATGCGGGGGAGGGAAAGGCAGAACGATTCAAAGGAGTTTTACTACAGAAGTTTCTTGGTGTAGTAAAGTGTGTTTGACAAACATGCAGATCGACGAACAGAAACAGAGACAGACGGAGGACAGTCAGGACTACAGGTCTTCACACTAACTCCCTAAAGTCTAAACTTGATCCAGTTCTTCTTTTCAAATAGTTGTAATTCTGATTCAAGTCTGACTACAGAACTTTGTACGGTGCTGACTTGGCCCTGGAGTTCTATATCTTTACTTAGCAAAAGCAATAACACTTTTTTAGCCATGCTAGCTGCTGTAACGATGAAAACTTTTTCTCCTATTGGGTGGATTTTCATGAGATATCGATGCCCAGAGGATGGATTCCAATACATTTGGTAATTGTCCTCCTAAACCAAAAGCAATTTACACTGTCACCTACCCTAAGTTTCACTTTAACACAGATTCGTCTCAGTAAAACTCCTGTTAGCATCCTGTACATATTGGCAGATGCATGTTTAGCTTTAGCACATTTTGTTAGCTTTCCACTCATTTGGCATTTTGCCTTTATCCATAGGCTTCGGATATCACTGGTAAAATTAGACACCCCATTATTTTGTAGTAGTTCATTTTAACCACTGAGAAAAGTGCTAATGCTGAAGCTAAACATGCTACTGCTAATATCCACAGGATGCTGACAGGAATTTCTTTAGAGGAATCTGTGTAACACAAGATAAGTACAAGCTGTAACCTGCGGGTGGTTCAGGAGGAAAACTAAACCAAAGAAGTTAGGATGCGTCCTCTTGGCATCATCGATATCTGGTCTAAGTGGGAATCAATCCCATAGTTTGAATGATTACAAGAAAACATTGTCATTGTTGAAGCAGCAGCTAGCTAAAAGGACACAAAGGAATACATTTGTCGGACTTGATCAGATTTCTTTCAGAGAAGAGTCTGGTAAATACGGGCTAACGGAAACACTGGTACGCCTATGAATTCACATATGGATTCTCGGACCCTGTGAAGACCTTTAGATTAGTTTTTAAACAAGAGTATCTGTACTTCTACTTGAGTAAAGGATGTGTGTACTTTTGCCCTCTCTGCCCCTGCCCCCCCCCCCCCCCCCCCTCATACATACGTGCTCTCACACAGCGGTCCCATCCAGGCGGGGGCAGAGAAGCTCGGCATCTGAGGCAGCGAGAGAGGGAGGCTGGGGACTTTGGGGAGAGGAACGCTGGCTAGATTGTTAGTGAGCGACCTGCCGGTGGATGGCGGGAAAGGAAAATGTTAAAAGGAGATTAAAGAGATAGCGAAAGGGAAGAACAAGTGACAGAAATAGTGCTCATACTTTCCTACAGCACACACAAGGAGGAACAGTCACAAATTGTTTCAGCCACTTGTGGTATTTGTAGGCCGTTCTGGAAGTTAGCATGGCAGAGGGCTCCCTCCACAAGCGGCAATGGGATTGGCAAACACATATTGGTGATACTCCACATGTTTTGTTCAGCAGGGTAATCTTCCCGCATTAACACCATTTTGTGATTTTTTAAGCGTTAATGCAATCGCCAAAAGTAAATAGCTAACGTTATGCTACGTACCTGTTGGTGTTACATTTTGTGTCTCATTTAGACATTTGTTAACTATGTGCAATATATAAATGCCGTTAATAACTGTGTAATATATACCTGGCTGCTAAATCCTTAGAACTGTTACAGGATGTGTATTTTGTAAATGATGTAACTTTTTATTTGTTATTATATTATGACTTAGTACTTTTTTTAATGCATGTCACATATTTAATATGCTGTAACTACGCAAATGTCCCCTCCATGGGACTAGTAAAGGTATTCTGATTCTGAACAGCGGTCTCTACGACTCAATGTGTGAACCACCGACCTTATTTCAGGCTTCTAACCACACAAAGGATCAAGAAAACATGACTTCAAGACGAGGGAACTAGAAAGTTGTAAATGCTCCTTATTTTCCGGGCTTTAAGACTCATTCTTGCACCACTCCTTAAACGCGGAAATGAGTCAGCATTTTAGCGCTTCGTCTTCTCTCTACTCAAAGTCAATGGATTATTTTGTATGTTTGACGTTTCAGGACAGTAATATGGGTTGAGCGATGCTTTGCAAAACATGTTCCATGTTTGGCGAATTTCACTTCCATTCAAAGTCTTTTTATCCACAACAAAGAGTCAACAGCGACTGCATCTGCTTTGTGTCGACAGCTCTGACAGAAACCACGGTTGGGTTTGTGTGGATCTTTTCTTGTCTCCTTAACTTTAAGAGTTTCAAACGGCCTTGAGGTGAGTGCAAAAACCCAAAATGATCTTACTTGACGGACTGCCAGGTCTCCTGCTCGAAGCCGCGGTGGATGGACTGAGCGATGGACGACTCCATCAGGTCGATGTATCGAACGACCAGCGGCACAAACAGGTCCTGCAGGTGTTTGTGGAACGTGGCATTGCACAGGTGAGCTGAGGAGAAGAGGACCAGGTGAGCAAGTGTACAACCTTTTAGACCTTTTCCCCAACCCTAACCCCAGAACGCATTTATATTCTTCTGGTCGGCAACAGTAATACGGTGAAGTTTGGTCTTTTCTTGAATATCATTTACCTCTGTTATCTGCTTAATTGTTTGTTTATTTATTTGTTGTTTTTGTTTTTCAATAACAAATGTATTTATTTAAGAAAGGAAAGAAAAAAAAGGGATGTGTAATTAAGTAGATAATTTGTTTATACATAATTTAGAATCAGTAATATTTTTGTATATCAATTTGACACTGATTAATTTTGTATTGTATAATAATTCTCATGTTACATTTTTGTATTATTGTTTTACACATTCAAAATAAATCTAATCAAGTTTTTTAACAATTATTAAAACTGCTGTCCATGTTTACCCGTTTCCAGTCTTTGTGCTAAGCTAAGCTAATCTACTGTAGCATTCAACTAAATACAGTATATATCTATCTATCAAAAGGACATATCTCATCATATTACATCTCATTGTCTTCTTTTGCACCATTGTCTTGCACTATTTTATTTATTTGTGTATACATATATTGTAGGTTGCATTGTTTGAGGAGCCTGGAACATAAGATGTGCCTAAACTTCACTGTTTCGATTGTGCAAGTGACAACAAAGTGATTTCATCTTGAATCGAAAGTCTCAACTAGCATACTTTAAACAAGCTTCCATCCCTAATTCTGCTTCATCAAGATCTAACGAAAATGGCCGCCTTCAAAACTACCTCGAGATAAGATACGATGGAACGTTATTAATGCCCATGGGGAAATTCAGCAACAGAATAAGAGCGAGAGTACAGATTCACACAAGATGAATACAATCAAAGATGAACATTGTGCGATTGATAACGTTCAGATGTTCCTGTGATTGGTTGCGGATGAAAGAAATCAGCGAGTGACTTTTTGAGTTGAATAACTGCAGTTTCATGAAGCACCTTAACGTGCATGATCTGCGTTTGGCCGTCATTACGATCGGTTGTTTTCCTAGCAAACGATTGATGGGTCACATAAACGTTGCCTATCCTAAAGGAGATAATAAAGGAAGCATTGAAGCTCCTTTCCTAACCATTTACACAACTCATACAGCTCTTTCCAAACCCTAACCTCAACCGCTTTAATAATAATAATCAATTTGACTTTTCATTTGAGTAAACACAACTCAATCTGCAATTACTGAGTGTGTGTGTGTGTGTGTGTGTGTGTGTGTGTGTGTGTGTGTGTGTGTGTGTGTGTGTGTGTGTGTGTGTGTGTACAAATATATATTTTTAAGGATTTAGTTTGGAACTTTCACTCCTGATTTCTCACCAGAGAAAAATGACAACATTTAATTTTGAGAAAATCATAAGCATGTGTGTGTGTGTGTGTGTGTGTGTGTGTGTGTGTGTATGTATGTGTGTGTGTGTGTGTATATGTGTATATGTGTGTGTGTATGTGTGTGTGTTGGTGTGTGTGCGT